TTGCAGCGCTCGTGCTCGGGTATCTTGACAAATCGTAAGATCCCACGCTCGCAGCGGAAGATCAAGTTGTCAAAGACTCGGGTGCCACCAGGAAGATTGCTGGGATTCTTGAACGGGACATGTGGATTCCATCCCTGTAAGGCAACCCAATACTTGTTCCACACGTGATTGATATATGATTGCGAGGTCCAGCGCATCCGCGCATTTGGATCTCCGGTGACTTTGCCTGCAGTGCCCATATCGAGTAAATCTCTAGCCGCATATCGGAAATACATACAATTCAACTCACGCAATGCATCCTGTATGACTGCGCGCAGTATGCCACGCTTTTGCGTGAAGGATGTTGCATAGCTCGGAGCTGACTGATTGCTGCAAAGATCAACATGGACCATACTGTTTTTGTTACCATGTATACCAAGTTGCGCAAATATACAAATGTTACATACTTGTGTATTTGCTTTGAAGATGAGTCTGTAGGTCAAAGCAAGCAGTCGGAATGCAAAGTACGAGAATGACCAAGGTACATGTAGTGCAATAAATAAAGTTGTTGAGATACTACAAATAGGTACAGTCGGGCTAGACTGTTGAAACAACCGGGCGAGCGCATGCCCGACTACCGGCTCGCCGACGTGCCGCGCTGCGGCGCGATAGTACCTTGTTCCTTCGTACCTGATTTAGATAAGTGTTTACTATATTAGGCCGAGTTCTCGCATGTAATTACTTCGCGCGTTTACCTCCCCGCCCCGTGGACGAGACAAACCGCTTCGTATTTGATCTTTTCCCGCGCCACTCGCTTCCGTAAACCTTCGCGCTCGCTTGTTCGAACCCGATGCCAACACTCGTTTCTACATAGACTCCCATCGCAGTCAGGAAGATCATTAACCAAAAATAGCCATAATGCAGCACATTCTGCTCGATAGTGCACCGTACTATTTTAAGCCGTTGTCATGACTCGCTATGTTGCAACATGTTCGGTAGCTGCAAGCGCATTTGTTTTTTGCGCATGTAACAGCAATTGACTCAATGTTCACGTAGACTTGTCTGACAAGATGCACGGCATCAGCCTCCGCAGACTGTCAGGAAACTATATATAAAGCCGCAGCTGCAGCTTGTTTCCCGCATCTTCCGCACTCCAGTGGACAACCGAGTGCTGTCACTATGTGGCCGGAATGCCAACTGCCCGGCTGGTATGCTCGCTACGAGCAATCGGGTGCGTATCATCCTCCGTCCGCTGCCCATCGAGTGTTCATGAGGGAGCGTCGAGCTCGTTAGCGCAGTACAACGCTCGCGCGTCGGACGCACCTGCCGTTCTCCGTGAGTACATGACCGTCTGACTGGTGCCGCCAGTGCTGACTGTTTACCCCGGAGGCTCTGAGCATCATGCGCTCGGTCCCCAGATCTTGACACATGTTGTACATGGCAATCGTGTGCCCATGGTGACGCTGGTTCGAACTGTGCGCGCGTGCTCCCCGGTCCCGTCCTGTCCCGTCCATTCTTCAGCGGTCAGCGGAAACTCATGCGCCGACGTCCTATCGCTCCTCATGTGGTGTGTGGGCCGCACCCGTCCTCCACAGAAGCGCACTGACCGGACTCTTGACCCTTTGCCTCCACGGAGCGTAGGTCATGCAGAACGCTGCCCGCGCGCTGCCCGCGCGCTGTGCGCACACGCACGGTACGTGTCTGCGCTGTCGTCTCTCATCTCTGGCAGCGCCGTGGCTGACCGCCGGTGCCGCAGCATTGCCGTGTCAAGAGGACACCGGCGTTCGACCAGCGGCCTGCGCTACGGGTGCAGGCGCGCGTGCGGGCTCAGGCTGACTCTCGCAGTGGCTCCGACTCAAATAACCTGGATGCGCGCTGTGGGTCTGCGCATCCAGCTCGACACGGAATATGTGCTTACATGGTCTCACGGCATCGGGTGCACTGCGCAGGCAGCTGTACGACTCCAGGCGCGGGAAGGTGTCCCCCATCACCGTCGAGGGCGACTTGGAGTTGCGCTCCAAGCCCGAGCCGGAGCCCAAGCTCAATATTCCCGGTGGGGAGCGTGTTGAGTTGGGCGAGATGGGCAACGCAGGGGCGCTGACGCTGGGGCCGTGACCGCGCCACGAGACGGAGCGCGCCCACACAGGCTCGTTCGCCTTGGTCGCAACGGTGTGCGTGTGCCCGCTGAAGATGAAGAGCTGGTCGTGCCGCCGCGCCCACGACGCGCGGCGCAAATTGCGCACCCCGCACAGCCGACCATACTCACGCTGCATCAAGTGCTGCATGATCGCGTCGTTCTGCGGTGACCGGCACGATCACACGGCAGGTATGATCTACGGTGCGCGTTGTATCCTTGCCATTCGGTGATTGACTGACGTACGCCCGCTCTACCCCTCGTCGCGACGCCACGAGATGGGCTGCTCGCTCGCCGACGCTGCCCAAAGCTGCCCGGCGACCTCGCGAAGGGCCATCCGGTCGTGAGCAGGTCGCCCGTGCGGCCGGTGCGTCCTTCTCGCGTCTCGGCCTCGTCACCGGCCGATCTGCATAGACTAGGCCTGCCAGTGTACATACCAGGAGTAGAAATATATTCGTTTGTCTGCTCGGGTGCCGGTTGTCTCTGTCCGGCGTCCCCCGGGCTTCCGCTGTACGTGCGTCTCTATAAAGTACACATCGCGTCCCTCCCGGACGTCTCTGTGCGTCCCAGGTCAGATGGTGAGATGCTGCGCCGCCGCCGCCGGGGCGCAGAACGCACCGCGATATGAGTATCACCGCGTGCGTTGGTCCAGCGCACGGCATCTTCCTTGTCGCTCGCGACGCCGTCTCCCGTCCCTGACGCTTCTCAGCCACTGTTCCGATGGGCGATGCGAGGTCCGACGTCACGCAGCCGACGTTCTGCGGCCTCAGAGCGCGAATTCCGTGGCCTGGTTCTAACGCGCTCGACATCTGCAAAGATGTTGTGAGCGCACGGGCAAAGTCGTCAACGGTCGCGCACACACCCGGGCTCTGCGCGCGCCCCAGGGACAAGGGACCATAGCAGTGTTCCCGGAACGTGAGTCGTGAGCCACAAAGTCCGCGGGCGGCCGTCGCCCGTCGCGCGTCGCCTCGGTCACAGGTCGCCCGCGTGCGCTCTCGGCACACGCCTTGCGCGTCCAAACCAGGGAAAGCACGCACCATGGTCGTCGCGTTAGCGCGCTGCAGCCGACACGACTGCTCCTTGGCCGAGGCGCGTGCCCCAGCGATCGTTGCTAGCGCGACGGGCATGGTCGATGGGCTGAGACATGGGCCGTGTTCTGTCTGCACGGACGGGATGGCAGGCAGACATGGAAACGGGATCGTTGGGCTGTGAGATAGCATCAGTACACACGGCAGGGTGACGTCGCCGACGCGCAAGCGAGCAGGACGCGGGACGCGGTCGCCATCGCGATCGCGGAGGCGATCTAACGGACTCGTTGAGCGCGGGCCTGAACGCGAGCCAAGGCGACTCGGTGCGCTCGGGCAGACAAAGGCGCTGGGCGCGGGATGGAGATGGGACGTACCTAGGAGTGGAGCAGACGGCTGCCATTGTTGAGGGCGCCTGGAGGCTGCTCGCGCTACGCTGCGCCCAGACGCAGCTTGTGGAGCCGGACGCCCTCGTGCGCGTGCGCAGTGTCCGCCTGTGCAAGCGGCACCGCGTCGCGCGCCGTGCGGATCCTGTGCCGTGCGTCCGCGATGCGGGCCCCCGCGTCGTCCGCGCGGCGCGTCTCGTGCGCGAGCCGCTCGGAGGTGAGGGCGAGCATGGTGCGGACGTGGGCGGCGTCGCGCTCCTCGCGCGTGAGGAGGCGGGAGAGGAGCTTCGACCTG